TATCGGTAGAGTTATGCCTTATCTTACGTACATATCCTCGTGTTTGTACTTATTTGTGCGGTAGTTTTATGACCACTTAAACTCGCACGTATATTTTTGAGTTGGGTTAGTGACCCGTTGAAATTTTCAATATTCTTATGGGATAGGGCGTTCGTCTCGGCAATATTATGATATATTTTTATGGGAAAGAGATGTGCTTGTTTTGTGAGGGTGTTGAGTTGCTGATGTGGCGTAGTATCATTGGCGGAGAAACTTTGGCAAAAATTATCAAGGTGGATGGTGGTTAGCTGATGGGTCAATGGGTCAAGGGGTTTGGGCTAATTTTCTAGACTCGTTTGTTGGGTTATTTGGCTGAAAATTATATTTAAAATGTGGCCCTCTTGAATAACAACTTGATCTTTGCAATCACAACACCCTTCGAATTAAACCCTTTTCAACATAAATATCTAATTAAACTTCCTTAATCCTAATAACTGTAATAAAATATATATTTTTATTAAATGATTATATATGAATATATTTATAGATAAAGTTTTGTATTTTTGAAAGAATTAATAATTTATAAGTATAGATATATTAGATATGTAAATAGCTAAATAATTAATTAGGTAAAAAGTTATGGTAATATAACCATAATTTCCAAAAATTAATTTTACAAATACAAAGATAAGTATATTATAAATACTAATAATTTTTATCTTTAAAAAAATATATAGGATAAGTAATTTGAGTAATTATTTAAAAATACATTAAATATATTTTATTAAATTATTATTGACCAACAAGCATAGTAAACTCATTGAGAAAATAGAGGGCCAAAATTGATCATCAACAAGCTATGTAATATTAAAAAGAATTAAAAAACTTTTGGGACAGATGAAACACTGGTAACAACATACAAGAGGAATTGACAAATTATTGGCCATAAATTATTTTGGCAAAGGTAGCCCCAAAATATCTGGCATTATATAGCCAAATATTTTTTTTTAAAAAAAACTACTTTCTAGTTACTCTCTCTCTCTCTCTCTCTCTAACCCCCCC